GCTTCAATCTTCTTCAGATCTACCTTGATCCCCTAAATCAACACTACATAACCCAAAAATGCCACTGAATCAAGCCAGAATTCACACTTTGAAAATTTTTATACAACTTCTTTTCTCTCAAGGTCTGAAGCATGGTCCTCAAGTGCAGATCATGATCCTCCTGGATCCAGGAGTACACCAAGATGTCGTCAATAAACACAATGACAAATGAGTCAAGATAGGGATGGAATACACTGTTCATCAAGTGCATGATTGTTGTTGGGGCATTGCTTAGCCCAAATGACATCACAAGGAACTTGTAATGACCATACCAAGTCTTGAAGATAGTCTTCGGAATATCCAACTCCTGAATCTTTAACTGATGATAGCCTAAACGCAAATCAATCTTTGAGAACACCCTGGCACCTTGTAACTGATCAAATAGGTCATCAATGAGTGGCATAGGATACCTGTTCTTCATTGTGACCTTGTTCAACTAGAGATAATCAATACACATGTGCATATAACCATCCTTCTTCTTTACAAACAAGACCAGAGCACCCCAAGGTGATACACTAGACCGAATGAAACCCTTATCAAGCAACTCTTGTAACTACTCATTTAACTCCTTCAACTCTACTGGGGCCATACGATATGGTGGAATAGAAATGAGCTGAGTGCCCGGTAACAAATCAATACCAAAGTCGATATCCCTATCGGGCGGCATGCCCGAAAGATCCGCCGAAAATAAATTCGGATAATCCCTCACTACTGGAACTAACTCAATGGTAGGAGTATCAACACTGACATCTCTCACATATGCTAGATACACATTACATCCCTTTCTTAAGGAAGGACACCGCCCTGCTAGGAATATAATCCAACGTACCTCTCCACTCCAATCGTGGCAAACCTGGCATAGCCAACATCACTATCTTGGCGTGACAATCTAGGATATCATGATAGGGTGACAACCAGTACATGCCCAAAATAACATCGAAATCTACCATATTGAGCAATAATAGATCATCTCTGGTCTCAAAACGACCAAGAATAACTAAACATAACCGATACACATGGTCAACTACAATGGAATCTCCCACAGGTGTGGACACATAGACAGGAGAACTCAAAGAATCATGGGATATACCCAAATATGGAGCAAAATAAAATGATACATAGGAATAAATAGAGCCTGGATCAAATAAGACTGATCTTTATGAAAAACCGTAACAATACTTGTGATAACCGAGTCAGATGCAACTGCCTCCATCCTAGTAGGAAGAGCATAACATATGGCCTGGACTCTCCCTCTAGGGCGACCTCCAACCCTGGTTAGCTATGTAGGTGAAGTGGCAACTGGTGTGGTAACCATGGCTTGAGAAGCTTGAGGACCCGGTGGAATATGCAGAGCCTGAGTAGTTTGTGGAGGTGCACCCCTCCTGAGTCTGGGGAAATCCCTCACCATATGACGAGTGTCACCACACTCAAAAATATCTCTCGGAGGACGTGGCTGCTGGAACTGCGATCAACGAAGGTTGGATTTTAGTGCATCGCGAACGTGTGAAGGAGGTCGCATCCGCGAAGAAGTAAGAAGAGGCTGCAGGTCCATGCATTTTTGTTCATCGCAGTCACGTGATGTGTTCCGCAATCGCATAGGTTGTCGAGGAAGTGTGTCATATTCATGTGTGGTCTTCTGCCTTCGTGGAGTGTTAATTTGGCAGCCTGAGTTCACGATCATGAAGCAATTCCTGCGATCGCGAAGAATAATAATACATGGGCAAAATTTAAAGTTCAAAAACAAGGCTTCATCTCATTTTTCATATTTTGGACCTAGAGAGCTCAGTGTGAGGCGATTTTATGAGGGTTCTTCAAGGAAATTGTTGGGGTAAGAGATTCTAACACGGAATGGACTATATTTCATGAATCTATTACTATTTTTATCATCTAATTAGGGAAATGTGGGGGGAAATGGTAAAAACTTCCTAGACTAAATTTTTGAGTTTTGAAAGGTGATTTGAGGTCGGACTAGTTAGTATCAGAACTCTAGGTTCATAGGTGTTATGAGTCACAAGCAAGTTTAGTAGAGTCTCGCGGATTGGTACGAAGACGTCTGTACTTATCTTCGGGAGGCTATGGAACTGTTAGAAAAAGTTTCACTTCTTTGATTCCTTATTGTGCGAATTCATTGACTTTGAAATTCTAAATCTCTGTCTTTCTATTCTCTCACAGATGGTGAGGACACGCACAGGGATCTGATAATCAGACACCCGCACCCCCTGCTAGAGCCGCGAGAGGCCAGGGCCGGGGCCGGGGCCGGGGAAGAGGCCGAGGATGGCCACATGGTGCAGCCGGAGCACCTGAATGACCTGCTACAGAGGAGCCACAAGTAGCTCCTGCATGACCTGCTACAGAGGAGCCACCAGTAGCTCTAGTTGGAGAGTAGGCACCTGAGACGCCTGTTACTACCCCTGCACTCCAGGAGACTCTTGCCTAGATTTTGAGAATGTTTGGCACTTTAGCTCAGGCAGGGTTGATTCCACTTGCTCCTGCCACATCTCAGGCCGGGGGAGGAGCACAGACTCCCGCAACTCATACCCCAGAGTAGCGGGACCAGTTCAGCCTGAGGTTAGGGCAACAGCTTTTGAGGGGGAGCAGCTCAGACTCGAGAGGTACAAGAAGTACCACCCTCATACTTTCAGCAGTTTGACTTTAGAGGATGCCTAGGGTTTTCTTGAGGAGTGCCACCATATCCTCCACACTATAGGTATTGTGGAGTTGAGTGGGGTTGCTTTCACTATGTTCCAGCTTGAGGGAGCAGCTTATTAGTGGTGGCGAGCGTATCAGTTGGGTAGCCCGTCTGAGGCAGCTTCACTCACCTGGTCTCAGTTCTTAGAGATGTTCATGAGGGAGTTTGTTCCCCAGAGTCTTAGGGACGCATGGTGCGCAGAGTTTAAGCAGTTGCGCTAGGGTGCTATGACCGTATCGGAATATGCAGTCCGTTTCAGTGATTTGTCTAGGCATGCACCAGCTTAAGTCTCCACTATCAGAGAGCGAGTTCGTCAATTTATTGATGGGCTCAACCCTGGTATTATATTCAGCATGGCTCAAGAGTTAGAGATGGACATCATATACCAGCTGGTAGTGAAGATCGCTAGGAGAGTAGAGGGTATGTGGGTCTGGGAGAGAGAGGAGAGGGAGGCCAAGAGGCCTCGAGATTTTAGCACATATAGTGGTGCCCGTGCCCCAGTTTCAGCTTGTCATGAGGTGGCTACGTGAGTGGTCCTATTCATTCAACATTTTCAGCTTCCATCGGTATTCCAGCTACTCCCAAGCCTCAAATTGCCCATTATGCACCGCCACTATCTACACGGGGTGCTTTCAGTGGTTAATCCAGCCGATCAGGTTGAAGAACGTTTTCTTCCCAAATTCATTGGTAAGTATCTCTAATTAGTAATTACTTTTCAATCAATTTCAATTACTTTTCATGAATTTTTTAACATCAAATATTTGAATTTCATTGTAGTAATTAGGGGTTTTGTGTAGAATTTAGGGATTTTATAAATTGAGATTTAGACCTTGAATTGAGGTCGGATTTTGAAAAAAAATTATATAATCGGGCTCGGGAGTGAATGGGTAATCGGGTTTTGGTCTGAAACTCATATTTCGACCAAGCGGGCTCGGGGTTAACTTTTGTTGACTTTTTTTAAAATGATCAAAATTGACCCTTTTTCATTCGTGGGTAGTTTCTAAAGTTTATATTGGATCATTTGATTGATAATTGGCAAGATTCAGTTGGTTTGGAGGCTTGTTCTAAAGACAAGGCTGTGATTGATTGTTGATTTGGTTGTAGAGTGAAGTAAGTATCTTGGTTAACCTTGATATGAGGGAAATAAGGTGGAATTGAGTTTATTTTCTATGTGAATTATGTGTTGGGAGTGGCGTATATGCAAGGTGACAAGTGTATATGCGCGGGCAATGGGATAAGCATGCGGATGTAATTTGCTTTATTTGTACTAAGTTTTTTCGTTTATTAAGTCTTTCATGCTTTAGATAGATTGTTAAATCTTTAATTACTCACTTTCATGTATTTCTTATATTAAGATTGTTGTGTTATTGGGTGATGAGAACGTGAAAGTTGTTGGCACTAATGTTGAAAGAACCTCATTTAATGAGTTGTATTCAAATGTCATTTGTATAGGATTTGCTTCTCACCTTACTTGGTATTATATTATTGTAATTTGCTTGGTGAGTAAGAATGAAAAGCACGAAGGGTGTTGTTATGCATTGTTTGTATATTGATATCATTGCTTAAGTGAACGTGAGGCTAAAGCACGGGGTGATTGTCACGATCCAAAATTCCATCTTAAGTATCGTGATGACACCTTTCTAAAACTAGGTAAGTCGATCACTGACAATAGTTAAACCAATTAAATATGATATTATGAAGCAGAATCTATATCTATATATAAATATATAAAGGAGGGACTTGGCAAAGTGATGTGGCATCTCTTAAAAATTATCATTCATATTTATCTTTTTTCATAAATTTTTGCCTTTTCCCTTTATTAAGTCTCTATTAAAATTCTGAAAAGTCATTTTTAAAAGTCATCTTAATTGAAAAGACACTTTTAAAAGTCATCTTAACTACTACATGTCTCATCTTCTTATCCCTCCTCCTTCTATGCCAGAGGCCCAGGGCTTCTTTTTCATTAACGTCTCCTTCTCTTTTCTTCTTTTTTCATTTGCTAGATCTATATCTCTCTCTTCTCTTCTTTCTCCCAACTACCTAAGGTTAATCCCTTCTTCTTGGTTTCAAGATTTGTTTATTCACCTTTATGTTTTGTTGGTATTTTATCTAGCTTTCTATTTACTAATGGTTAAGACATGATATTATTTGCAGACCGTTTTGACATAAACTTATGTTTGTTCTCTTTTATCTTTGCTGCTATTTTATCTCTCTGTATAGTTAGTAATGGTTAACTCTTTATATTATTTGCAGATTATTTGTACAGAATTTATCTCGAATTTTGTTCTCACTTTTATCGAATTTTCCTCATAATAGTCCTTTACGTTTATCCGGAGCGATGAGCCTTGCAACAATATTCTCTCTTTCATCTTCCTTTCTTTTGATATATTTTATCCAGTAAATTTTAATTTATATATACCTTATGAAAGCAGCAACATGGTTAAATGTTGATATTATTTGCAGATTATTTGGACAGAAGTTTATCTACGTTTTGCTCCTTAGATGACTTGGAACATGAGCAAGTAATTGGCTTAATCCAAACATTTGACTTTTATTGCATTTTATTCTAGAATTGAATTTTCATTTTTTATTGTCGATAGGGTTTATGAATTGCAATTACTTTTATTACATGTTCTTTGTGAATGAATGAAATTTTCCTTTGATTGCCTATTTACGTAGATTCTTTATTTCTTCTTGATTTTCTCATCCTCTTTAATTTTTAGGATTAGTTTGTTCTCTTTCCTATTTTAATGCGGTAGTAAGAACGCGCAGGTAAATTACTAACCACCATGCTTACTATCCTTACAAAGGCAGAGGTGTGAATTATCTTCTTAATTCACATGGCTTCATCCTGTTAATGTGGAACTCCTCCTTTTTGGTGTGTTAATACTCTTTACGGATCCAATTTATCTTTTCTTTCTTTTTTTAATCTTTCTACCTTTTTTTGCTTTATGTTATTTATAAAATTAAAAATAAAAGTAGTCATTATTAAAAACACCAACAGTCTTATTGAAGAAGACTAGACGGTAGTCAAAACATAGCCAAACCCAAACCCAACTGAAAAGTTTTTGTCAAACGAAACCAAATTGTTGTGCTTTTAGTATGTCCTTTACAAGCTTCTTACGGTCTTATGGTTTATTCAGAATATGAATTATTCCATCAACAAATTGAAACGTGAAGTTACACGTTAAAGTTGATGTCATGAAACAATCAAAATTGATCTCATCGTACAAGAACTCAACAAACTAATCTCTTTTTTCTACAGTTTTGCTCTACTCAGGAAGAGAGGAGTGCTATTAAGTATCACTTATTCAGTATGAGAGCTAAGTGAAGAAAAAGAGTATGTAGAGGTTAAACACTAAATTCAATAAGTTGGTTTAGAACAATCAAATCATTTACTGAAAATGGCTTGAATTATTAGCTTTGTTTGGGTTCTCTTCTTCCTTCTTTTAAATTAAAGTGGTAAACATTTTGCTTGGTCTAAGAGTAAGTGAGGTAGAATACAACAATGATATTATCCTTTTTCTCATTTTTGTCATAAATATTTTAATAGAATTTAATGTTTACTCAATGTTGAAATTAATATACCAATGAGGACAATAAATAATAGTGAAGATAATAAAGGATTGTAGTAATAAGGACAAGTCATATATAGCATTGAGTCCTCTCCCTTAAGAAGATAAATGCTTGCTAATGTGTAACGTTGAATCATTGACTAGACTGGTTCAGGCAAATTATTTCTGCTTCAGGCATTTTTTTTTTCGATAAGAAGAATTGATTTCTCAATGACTATTGAACTTCCTGTTTTTCTCCTCCTCTCTATGGAACTTATGGTTAAGAAAGAACATCACTGGACATAGGGAAAGAAACTAATTTCATCCCTTTAAGATTTTAAGTTTATGGATTTGGGATTCTAATCCTTTTAAGTTACTGGGTTTTAAGTTAATTATTTGTGCATAACTAATAAATTTTTAAAAGAAAAATACAAGATTTAAACAAAAGCTAATGGGTTCGGCTGAACTCATAGCCTGCTCTGTGGCTCCGGCCCTATTCATATTGAATGATCGAAACTTAACTGTACATCTAATCAGGAGAGGAAGTTACTGCAGAATGTTGTATTATACAATGACTGACTGTTGAAGAGTTGCGACACCCACAAAGATAAAATATGTCATAGTTATATATCCATAGAGTTTGTTTTCTTGCTTTCTTCTCATAAAATGTTTGTATTCGTATATATGTATGAAACTATTTTTTATTAAATTTGTGGAACTTTTAGTACAATTAAACCAATAAGTTACATATATGTGTATGTATATCCATTTGAATGTAAAGATGTATTACGTAACTGGATCCACGGTAAAGTTGTCTCTGTATGACATATAGGTCACGAGTTCAAGCCATGAAAGTAGCCATTAATGTTTGCATTCGGGTAGGTTGTCTATAGCACACCCCTCGAATGCGGTCTTTCCCCGGACACTACGTGAACACGGGATACTTTGTACACTGAGCTCTTTATTTAAAAAAAAAAATCTTCCAACTTACAATTTGAATGGAGAGGATATATGTAATTGGATTCTCCTGGTGATCTCATTCTTTCGCGGGAATACTTTTGTTTATCTTAATATATTTTTTAATAAAATTTTAATATTGATGCACTCTAACTGGAAGTATCCTGTACATTTTGTTAATTTTTTACAAAACCTGAAAATATATTACGTATCAATAGATTATTATTTACTCTTCTAGATATTGTTGGAGGAAATATATATTAGAGAAATTTTTCAAAAATGGCCTAATCGGAGCAAAGTGGGATTTAGGGCTTCTACGTCTTTCTCTTTTACTTTGTAAAATGGTGGACACTGTAATTTGCGTTGAAATAGTGCAATTGCTATGAACGAATAGCCTATTCTTTGATGTTTTTACCCTGATTGTTTATTTATATTCTTGAAATTAAGATAATATCATAAAAATATAAAAATATTAATTACATAAAAATATAAAAAATTTGTTGATTTTTTTTTTAATATTTAAAAAGTGACATTTTCTCAATTTTTATTTAGTGTTTTAAAATTTATGTTCTCTCTCATTTGGATATTGTTTTAATTAATTAAACAATACTATTTTCATATGTCAAGAAAGATATTGCACTATAATTTCAACCTTCATTGATAAGGTTTTTGGAAAGAGTATAATGTACGTTGTGGAGTTGAAGGTTTTATACAACCATACGAATAAAAATAAAAAAAGCTACGCATGAGGATATAAGAGTATAGCAATTAACCTTGAGAATGCAATTATATCAAGAACAACATGTGACATTATCATTGAAAAATATAGATTAATTTATTATTATAAAAATATAACAACACTGAAATTATTTGATAATATTATATACTCCCTATGTTTCAATTTATGTGAACCTATTTCCTTTTTAGTCCGTGCCAAAAAGAATGACCCCTTTCCTTATTTGAAAACAATTTACCTTTTATGCAATGATTTATAGCCACACAAAATATACGTATCTCATTTTACACCACAAGTTCAAAAGTCTTCTCTCTTTTCTTAAACTTCGTGCCCGGTCAAATGAGTTCACATAAATTGAAACGGAGGGAGTATAATTTTTAACGATCGCGCCGAAGCGCGGGCATACTCACTAGTTTAATATAAATGAGAACTTTCACAGTGATACAGGCCAATACGGTGATATTCACTACAATCCCCATGACTAGGTAGTACAGAGTCACGAACTCTAGCTGAATACATAGAAATATCTCAAAAATAAAATGCAATACTATTCAGATAGCGAATTAACAGTGCAATTAAAAGAAAAAGGACTCCAAGGGACTGCGGCGATCGAGCAGCGCTACCTTGAATCCTCGTGATCAAAGAAATCCTGGGTTCACAACCTCCAACATCTGGATATGCACAAAAATGTGCAGAAGTATAGTATGAGTACACCACAGTCGGTACCCAGTAAGTATCAAGACTAACCTCGATGAAGTAGTGACGAGGTATAAGTCAAGACACCTAGTAGACATAATACCTTGTACAGAATATCAATATAAAGCTAATAATGGAAGCAGGAATCAGTAAATGGCAATAAGGAGTAAACATGTGATAAAATAGTAAAGTGATAAGAACACAGTTAAAGTACCAGTGAACCTAAATTACGGAAAACGCATGACAACAAAATAATCAAGTCGTTCTAACACAAGGTTTACGACAAAATCACCTCGAGGTACCACACCTCGTAATCATAAGTCACGAGTCCCAAATCACAAATCAATTCATATGGAACCTTATACCCACATTATCAATCACGACCGTACGGACATCTCACGTACTGCACGGACAACTCACGTGCCAATTTAATCCACCTGGCATAATCACAAGCTCACCATCACAATCCGCCCGGCATGGTCACAGACTTAATATCACAAAAAATAGATATGCAAGATTACATGTGCATGATCAATGAATATCAAGTTTTATACTCCTGAACTGATATAAATGACATGTGCAAGTGTACTATTAAAACCCAAATCAATAAGTGATATCAAAGACGTTGAGTAGCACATTGGAAACAACACAACAAGTCATGTAATGTGTATGATGCACACAAGAAAAATCACACCATCACGCGAATATCATCAATAATATTCTCCCCGGGTCATCGCATACCATCCCTGACAAAGCCACCCTTATCTCTCTACGTCGACAATATCATAATAGCCACATGTATCGCTCCGCCCAGACAATAAACACAATAGCCACTTGTACTGCTCCGCCCAGACAATAAACATAATAGCCATCTGTATCGCTCTGCTCATACAATATATCAATAGCTACCTGTATCACTCTGCCAAGATAATATATCAATTGCCATTTGTATCACTCCGCACAATCAACAACAGTAAAATACCACCCTTATGTTCAGCATAGCAACAATAAATCTACACAACAAATTCACATGTGCCAAAATCACAACAATACGACATATCAACTCGTACCACACGTGCTCATAGGCCACAAAATTTCTAAAATAATAATACAATATCACCACAACACATATCCCATGGCTCAACCGCAATGTGTACGAGAATATCAATAACAACAAAATAACTCAACAATGGAAGATACTCCATAAAATAAGAACTTCACCTAAAACAGATTAATAGCTCTCAATAACTTAAACTTCAATTAATTACTTAAGAATAAACTCAACAATGAAAGGCATGACATGTAATAACAACCGTAATTAAATACATATAGGAGTAAACTCGACAATGAAAGATAGAACATGTAATGATAACTTCAATTAAAGCATATAAGAATAAACTTGACAATGAAAGATAAAGCATGTAATAACAACTTCAATAGAAGATAGGACATGTAATGACAAATTCAATTAAAGCATATAAGAATAAACTTGACAATGGAAGATATAACATGTAATGACAAATTAAATTAAAGCATATAAGAATTCTAAGTGTCTAAACCGGTCAATTTCTATATATAAAGTCGTGTACATACTCGTCACCTCATGTACACGTCTTTCACATAATCCAAATAGTGCAATTAAATCGAATCCTACGGGTAGTTTCCCTCCACATAAAGTTAGGCAAGATACATACCTCAAAAGCCCTCAATTAATACTCTAAAAATGCTTTTCCTCTAAAGTTCACCTCCGCTCGACTCAAATATAGCACAAAATGACTTAATATTATAAAACAATGCAAGAGAAACCAATTCTAATAATTAAAGTTAGGATCTTCAATAAAAATTAAAAAGTCAATTCAAAATGTCAACCCTAGGCCCGCACCTCAGAACTTGACAAAACTCACAAATTCCGATACGAGTCCAACCATATCAAAATTATCCAATTCCGACCTCAAATCGGCCTTCAAATCATCAATTTATGTTTTAAAAATATTTTTACTAAAATCCTCAATTTCTCCAATTCAAATCATCAATTAAATGATAAAAACGAGGATGGAATCATAAAATATAACCAAATTCGAGTCAAAAATACTTATCCCAATCCAAATTGTGAAAATTCCCTCCAAAATCGAGCACTCTAACTCAAAATGTGATAAAATAACCAAAACCCTCGAAATAGAGTACTTTATTTATTTTGCCCAATGAAACACATTGCGATCGGGGAATTACCCTCACGATCGCGAAGAACAAAATGCCCAGCTGCCATAGTCCACCCACGAACACGGTGAACAATTGCCCAGCAACTACGCGAACGTGGTAGTATATCCGCGAATGCGGAGAACAAACACTCGATGCCCCCCCCCCCCCAGCTTCCCTTCTACGTGATCGCATCATCCATCTCGCCGCTCCCTATCTTCATGAACGCGTGCTCCACTTCACGAATGCGATGCACAAAGTCGCCTGCCACCAAATTACTCTACGCGAACATGACTCATTAGTCGCGATCGCGATGAAGAAAACCAGATACTGGCTGACAGCAATACAAAACAAGAGGAAATGGACAGTGGTCCATCCGAAACAC